GTTTTTTGTGTTTGTGATAGTGCCAATAGAACATGTTTTTTGTGTTTGTGATAGTGCCAATAGAACATGTTTTTTATGTTTGTGATAGTGCCAATAGAACATGTTTGTTGTGTTTGTGATAGTCTCAATAGAACATGTTTTTTGTGTTTGTGATAGTGCCCATAGAACATGTGTTTTGTGTTTGTGATAGTGCCAATAGAACATATTTTTTGTGTTTGTGATAGTGCCAATAGAACATTTTTGTTGTGTTTGTGATAGTGCCAATAGAACATTTTTTTTGTGTTTGTGATAGTGCCAATAGAACATTTTTTTTGTGTTTGTGATAGTGCCAATAGAACATGTTTTTTATGTTTGTGATAGTGCCAATAGAACATTTTTGTTGTGTTTGTGATAGTGCCAATAGAACATTTTTGTTGTGTTTGTGATAGTGCCAATAGAACATGTTTTTTGTGTTTGTGATAGTGCCAACAAACATGTTTTTTGTGTTTGTGATAGTGCCAAAAAACATGTTCTATTGCTTCGTTTGCGTTACAATTTGGACAGTTAGGTGATATATTTTTAATCAAAATACTTATATTGTCGTTAAGTTTGTTAGTGTTACAAGAAAGACTTAGGAAAGGAACTAAATGAAAAGAAAAAATCAAATATTTGAACTGAACAGAATTTAGAAGCGAGCACGGGATTCCATTGGTCAAAGGGAAATAACTCTAATAGAAAAAAGTTTTACCTAAAAACTTTCGCAATAAGCCAGCAGAATTCAATGAAAGTTTCACATAACATAATGGTTATGTCACTATGCAGAGGTGATTTTATGAAAATCTAATCATTCCGATAATTGGGATTTTTTTTTTAAATACCGAAAAAATGAATGTTTGTCAAATTCAACACGCTCAAATCATGAACACTTTGGACATCATTCCATAGCCCGCCTACGCATGGTGTATATTTACATGTCAGGTACATATGTAACCATAGGCTATCACATGGTGTATTTACATGTCAGGTACATATGTATCCATAGGCTATCACATGGTGTATATTTACATGTCAGGTACATAAGTAACCATAGGCTATCACATGGTGTATTTACATGCCAGGTACATAGGTAGCCATGGGCTATCACATGGTGTATTTACATGTCAGGTACATAGGTAACCATAGGCTAGCACATGGTGTATTTACATGTCAGGTACATAAGTAACCATGGGCTATCATATGGTGTATTTACATGTCAGGTACATAGGTAACCATAGGCTATCACATGGTGTATTTACATGTCAGGTACATAGGTATACATGTCAGGTACATAGGTAACCATAGGCTATCGCATGGTATGCCGTTATCACGTGTACGCACATGCACTTACACTTTATAGGGATCTTGATATTTTACAAACCACTATTGTCACAGAGTTATTGTTATTGCATTTGTGATTTATCTGACAGAGGGTAACTCGCTCGACAACAAAAGTCGTAGCGACCAAGAGCTTGTGAACTACTGTTAGCACGTGGTACGTACAGGTGCGGTTGGTAAACAAAACACATCAGTCTGAATTCCATGCGCCTCATATAAGACCTTTTTGAAGTCGTCTGATTTGATGTCAGTGTCTACCCATGAGTTAATTAATGTCTTTGTATCATAAGCTTTATGTCTGAAGTACGTGACATATATCATCGTCACGCACGTGTACTATTGTTTATTACCCGGTGTTACTATAATTTACACTACGGTAATGGAATGCCCGATACGCAATACGGAAATGACGAAACGAAAATACGACAAGAATAAAATGTGTATTACGAAGGGTGGGAAGTCCTTTACACCTTTGTTTTATGCCTATTCCAATTAGTTTTATTGTTAACAGATTCGTATATCTTTAATAATCCTTTATCACAGGAAATAGAAATAAATAAACAAATGATTAGTTTAGTTTAAACATATTTTATTGTACAAATATACAAATGGATCGGACAACAAGTTATTACAACAAAATTAGTGTACAGCTGTATGTGCTTTTGGGGAAAGGGAAAAAGATAGGGTGGAGAAAGAAAGGTGGGGTGGGAGGGGTGTGGGTGATGGAGGGGAGGGGTGTTACCTAGAAAAGTAAACGTGTAAAAAACTGAGAAATCGATCCGCATTTGAATAAATTATAAACTATGGGACATTTAAATAATGCAGACCAATTTATTTCTAGCTTTTCATTAAAGTATTTTTTACCATGCATTTTTACTTTGCACTACCACATTATGATAGAGACTGTGACATTACGCTGAATGACAGACATGTCATATATATTCCATAGTGATTTCAAAGGCTCCCAGACTAACAATAATGTATCGTTTTCATTGGTTGTGATTCGCAGTCTCTCGGGTTCATGAACTCGTGACGTCAGAGTCCTTTGCGCTTTGGACAGTAATGGCGAACCCCATATGGATGTGAAGAACGGGGCCCTAACATGTCGTGCGAAGGGGGACTGGTTGGGCAAAAACATGGCGGCCCCCATGGAATACCACATGAAAGTCGGCTGGATGTAAACATTGGATTAGGTGATACTTTTAGAGAGAAAAATGAAGGTTTGAGTACAATCCAGCCTACGGAAGATGGTCAGATCATTCAAGATGGCGTCGGAATCGACGGGAAAAATGTCGCCGAAGATAACTTACATTTTTTGTCGGCCGATGATGACTTGGATAGTTACGAGAGAGCAGTCGTCGAAAATAATGCCGAATGGTTGAAATCGCGTTGTAGAAATTTAGAAACGGTTGACTTCGACATTACTAGTAGTAATCAGGATGACGGTAGCGTCGGGGACTTTTTTGACAGCGACGCGCTGCCTGACGATGGAGCAATGTCGTTGCCCGAAACTGACAGTGCGGCCATTCCCCTCTCAGATGGAGACCTCAACTTTACACGCCAGCTTTGCGAGGGACAGGCGAACGGTTTGACCGTTCCCGCCATATGTGTGTCGAATGTCAGCATACTTCAGACACAGCACCGAGATGCACTTGATGAACTCACAAACCCAATTAGCCTCGACATGAGGTCAGAGGGCAAACAGCTTCACGTGCAGAATCTTGGGTTACAATTAGACTCTGACAGAAACAATACTTTGATGACTCCTCAGGAACTAGAAAGCATGCCTGATAGGGGTATAGAATTTGAGGAGTCAGTTGGACCTAAGAGCGATGCTATTCAAGTGGTTCATATTGAAAATGGTTCAACTTTAAAAGACATTGGAAGTGAATTTGGAAAGTGCCAGTTAACATTGCCATCTACTTTAGATGGAAAAGCTAAGTTAATTGACACTTCTCTTTTGAATAGAGCTGATATTGATACCTCAAATCAAAGTGTGTCTGTTGTGCAGAAGTCGGGCGAAGCTGAGACATCTATGTCACAGCAAATTGTAACACCTGCTGAGGCATTTGTTCCATCAGAGGGTAACCTAAAACTTGCTACAATATCTATTTCCACCGACAAACTGTCCAATTCGACCCAAATTCTAGTCAACACAAACCAAGGCCAACAGCTTTATCACATAAACACTGCAGACCTGACACAAGCTACAAATGCGTTGGAGCCACTTTCACGGCCAAATGCACTTCAGCATGTGGTTGCAGACCCTGCACAAATGAAAGCTGCCCAGCAGATGGACACTGACGTTGTTGCACCAGTTCAAACAGGTTGTTACAACACTTTAAAGCTAAAACAGAACTGTGTTTAAACACATGCATACAATATTTAGAGATCTACGCAATTAATTCACAACCCTGATATAAACTTTTAATGTATCATTTCAGTTTGTTAAAGTATACATATTAGAAAAGATATTTTTAAAGTTGATGTTAAATTTCTTGCAATTGCACAATACATTCACATGATCTGTCATAGTTCAAACTTGTCATTACATGGTGAAGTGTTGTAGACTGTTGGAAAGCACAGTTTTGACTATGCCTGCAGTTTGAGGTTAATTTCATCAAAGCTAATAAAAGGTCTTATAAATATATATTTTGATATCAGTGCAGCCAAAGGGAAGATTTATGTTGTCTTTATTTAAAAAACAAAACTTGCATCATATCATGTTTGTGTGACAAGCTTGTTCGAATTTCCACAAGCAGGAAGACCCAGGGACCAGCAATTCATCAATAGTAAAACCAAATGGGGAGAACTTAGCCCAGAGAGAGCCTATTCGATTTATGTATATTTTAAAATTGAATTTCCTAACTTTGAGATTGATGCTGACATACAGATATATCTTTCCATTTCAGGTTATTTGATCCTGCCTACATCTGACTATGAAAAGTTGAACTTACAGAATGGGATCCTCATGTCATCACCGCTAGGAACAATCAGTGGCAATGTCATCCAGCACGCTCCACAGATTCATCTGCAGCAGGTATATACACCGATCCTGACCCAGGCCATCAGACTGAGGTATATACAACGATCCTGGCCCAGGCCATCAGACTGAGGTATATACACCGATCCTGACCCAGGCCATCAGACTGAGGTATATACACCGATACTGGGCCAGGCCATCAGACTGAGGTATATACACCGATCCTGACCCAGGCCATCAGACTGAGGTATATACACCGATTCTGGTATAGGCCATCAGACTGAGGAATATACACCGATCTTGGCCCAGGCCATCAGACTGAGGAATATACACCGATCCTGGCCCAGGCCATCAGACTGAGGTATATACACCGATACTGGTCCAGGCCATCAGACTGAGGTATATACACCGATCCTGGTATAGGCCATCAGACTGAGGAATATACACCGATCTTGGCCCAGGCCATCAGACTGAGGTATATACACCGATCCTGGCCAAGGCCGTCAGACTGAGGTATATACACCGATCTTGGCCCAGGCCATCAGACTGAGGTATATACACCGATCCTGGCCCAGGCCGTCAGACTGGGTAAATACACCGATCCTGGTCTAGGCCATCAGACTGAGGTATATACACCGATTCTTGGCCCAGGCCATCAGACTGAGGTATATACACCGATCCTGGCCCAGGCCATCAGACTGATGTATATACACCGATCCTGGTCCAGGCCATCAGACTGAGGTATATACACCGATCCTGGCCCAGGCCATCAGACTGAGGTATATACGCCGATTCCTGGCCCAGGCCATCAGACTGAGGTATATACACCGATCCTGGCCCATGCCATCAGACTGAGTTATATACACCGATCCTGGTCCAGGCCATCAGACTGAGGTATATACACCTATCCTGGCCCAGGCCATCAGACTGAGGTATATACACCTATCATGGCCCAGGCCATCAGACTGAGGTATATACACCGATCCTGGTCTAGGCCATCAGACTGAGGTATATACACCGATCCTGGTCTAGGCCATCAGACTGAGGTATATACACCGATCCTGGTCCAGGCCATCAGACTGATGTATATACACCGATCCTGGCCCAGGCCATCAGACTGATGCCCCACTAGACAGGCTTATACAACATCAATAAATAAACTCAGATTTCTATGACTCGATGGACTTGTAAAATTTGTAATCATAGATTATCAGACATTGGACAGACAGTTTTTATAAGATCTTTTAATTTTTCAATAAAATTGCAAAGAGGTTGTGCCAAATTTATGGGCAAGATTTATAAGGGTTGTGGCAAATTTTCTGTACTTTAAAAAGAAATCACAAATGATTTCAGGGGCAGGGATGTAAAATCCTTAACTAATCATTACTTGGAAGGTTTGTGTAAATCTCATGGATAATTATGTAAAATGTCGGCAAATAGACAGGTGTGTGCAGAAATGTGCTCGCGTGTAAGCGTTTGCTGCTGGTAATTAAAAGAAAATCAAAAACATTTTACAATATATGCACAATCTATGAAGCTACTTTATTTCTCCTTTATCACACTGAAAACTGATTACACTCATTATGGAAATCACATTTAATGATAATAAGAGTGAAAAAGTGGGGCAAGTAGATTTTTGGTGTCTACTTGTGTCGGGCAAGTAACTTAAAAATTGTTTTGACACCCCTGGATTTTCATTGAATTTGTAGCTACCAGATGTCAATATGGGGTCAATGGCAGGTCAAGGAGCACCCAGGAAGTACTATATGTGTGGGGAAAGGGGCTGCGAAAAGATCTTCAAAAAACTGTCCAAGTTCCGAGTCCATCAAATGAGACATACTGGAGAAAGGCCGTTTAAGGTAAATCACATAGAACTTTCAAGGTGTCGTGGTGTTATTGGTCCATGCTACAGTGTTTGAAAGTAACAGTGGCCTGTGGGCATTCAAAATATGGTCTCTTAGTCTATGGAAAGTTAAAATGTGCCAGCTTGTTTATCTAATATCACAGTCCTGCATGCATTTACCAGTCATTAGTTGTTTTTGTGTGGACTATCTTGGTCATTGATTCATCAAACACTTTGCCCATTAATCCTGACGACAGGCTAGCACTGTTTATTCTCTTGTTCAGCTGTCCTCATAGTTCTTTTGAGGAGTTCTATATACATTAGGGCTGTAACGAGTAAGGCCAAATAAAAATATACCTGTGTTTCCCGTTTCCCGACCGACCCTATTTTTTCATGCCAACCCTAATACATGTTATTGGTTTTTCACAGTCACTGTAATGCATATATAAGCTGTTTAATTGTTCAAAGTATACATACAATTTGTTATGCATTTTATTAGTGTGGTCAGAGTTTTATTTGAAGACAGTAGTAAGTAGCTGTAGATAATTGTGGTTATATATGATATAGGTTGGGATCTGTAGATTAGTGGGACTGTCTGTAGTCTAGGTGGGGCGAGTCCAGTCTGTGATGTCAGTGTAGATAATTGTGGTTATATATGATATAGGTTGGGATCTGTAGATTAGTGGGACTCTGTAGTCTAGGTGGGCCGAGTCCAGTCTGTGATGTCAGTGTAGATAATTGTGGTTATATCTGATATTGGTTGGGATCTGTAGATTAGTGGGGCTCTGTAGTCTAGGTGGGCCGAGTCCAGACTGTGATGTCAGTGTAGATAATTGTGGTTATATATGAGATAGGTTGGGATCTGTAGATTAGTGGGACTGTCTGTAGTCTAGGTGGGCCGAGTCCAGTCTGTGATGTCAGTGTTTGTGCCTCAAGCTGATGCTGACCACCAGAGTCAAATTTAGCAGGATTTATGCATCATCAATTTTAATGAATCAAACATTTTTATTGTAGCAGGATTTTGCTAAGGGACAGATAGTAAGGTAGCTTAGGAGTCGAAGGAGAAGAGAGTTGGGTTGGGGAATTGAGGTAAAGAGGAAGGAGGTTGAGTTATAGGGAGAGAGTTGAGAGGTCAAGAGAGTTAGAAAGTTAGAATTAAAGTGAGAATTAGGAAGTGAGTAATAATAGTAGTTTTAGCTGTAGTTTGTAGATCTGCAGTTTTACAGTTCATAAATTAAGTTTGAAGTGGAGAGATTGAGTTCATAATAGTGAATACTTGTATAGTTTATGACAGATTAAAAAAACTTGTGTTGTAAATATAGTGTAAATATAAATATACTTATTTTGTTGTTCAATTAACTTGAACTGGAGGCAGTGGAAATCGAGAACAGAAAGTATCAGTAATACAAAAGAGAACATAACACTGGTGAACATCAGTGGAGTTTGGATTACTAAAAACTAGTGTCCAGCTGTAGGGATAGTTTAGAAATGTAACACACTGGTGGTAGCACTACTGTAAATTACGGTTGGTTCCATAAACATTTAGGTGGGTCAAATAATAATTTTCTTCAATGTGTTGTTTGAGCCTGCTCAACACAAAAACTGAATGTGTATTTATTTTACACGAATCAAAAATGATATATTTGGTACCTTTCATGCTTTATGAAAACAATACCATATTTTTAACATTCACAGAGGTAATCAGGAGATTTTCTCTGACACCAGAAAATAAAATGAAAAAATGAAATAAAATGTTTTTCCTACCCACCTACCCTATTTTTATTGGAGTCAAAACAGGAAACACACATATATTTTTATTTGGTCTAAACTAAGTACCGGTAACCCGGTTGGGGTTCGGTTACGAGTTAGCAAATCCACGTACTGGAAAACCGTCCCAAAGGTAGGTAAATATTAATTTTCCTGGTCAGAAATGTCTCTCCTGACTGCTGTTTGACAGACCTCGAAAACACTCGATATACTTGCTTTACCATCGAGTGCATGTAAAGTCAACAACTTTGAATGTAAACAAAATATCGACTAACATTCTGTTAAACAATGTAACTTATCATTCACCGACAGCTATCGTCCGTGTTCCGATCGGAAGTGGTGCGCAGAAATATGTGCTCATAGTGTTGACATCACCTGTGTGTATTTAGTGAAACTACGAAAATTGCCCTATCAGGACACTAGCAATATGTAACCCAAATGAGTTATTCATTATAACGATTTTGAGAATTTGCAACATTTTACAACTGTATTCACTAGGCCTAAGTATTGAGTTATCTTTGTTTATATGCATTTTATGAATTAATTGATCATTATTTTTATCAAAATAAAGAGTTATTGGTGGTCGTATTTCATTGTACAAAATGCAAGTGTTCTCCCCAGGCTGTTTTTGCAGCATGGCACCATGCTCCTATAATTCCTTGCCATGTTGCTATCCTAGATCTTCTCTGCTATATATTCATAGTAAATCTAAAGTTACCATGCTGCTTTGATTTTACATAGAGTGCTGCTTTAACAGAAATTTTGAAATACCATGCTTCTTTCAAAACATTCTGGGGAGAACACTTGAGTCCCAGTTCCGGTTCGGTTAAGCACATACGATTATCCATGTGGCATTTTTTCTAACCGTTGCCGCCCTAATTTAGATCACTGAAGTGTGTATTGAAGCTAATTTGAAATAATCATCTCCAATACGATTTCCGCGATACATATTGTTTCACATGCTTAATATAACCATTATTTGACAGTGTTCTAAGCCAGGCTGTGAATGGGCGTTTACAACACTATATAAACTGAAACGACATGGGGAGTCTCACCAGGGGAAAAAGGATTATATTGTAAGTATAGGGCGTTTACAACACTATATAAACTAAAACGACATGGGGAGTCTCACCAGGGGAAAAAGGATTATATTGTAAGTATAGGGCGTTTACAACACTATATAAACTAAAACGACATGGGGAGTCTCACCAGGGGAAAAAGGATTATATTGTAAATATACATCTGTAGGAGCATTATGTCACTTTTTTTAGCTGACCGGGTCCAAAGGACCAAGGTGAGCCTATGCCATACCGTGTTGTCCGTCCGTCAACAATTTCTTCAAACGACTCCCTCTCCTCACCACTGATTGGAATTTAACTAAATTTGACTGGAAGCATCCCTAGGTGGTGGGGATTCAAACCATGTATAAATGGTTGGGCTGAGGGGTGGGGCCCCCCAAAAGGGGGCAATTTGGTTATATTGCTATAAACAACTTCTTCTGTAGAACTATGTCATGGATATCAATCCTATTTGGTCAGAAGCATTCATGGGAGGCTGGGATTCAAAATTGTACAAATGTTGGGGCTGACCCTAAGGGGCGTGCCAAAAAGGTTATTTGGCTATATTGCTTTAAGCGACTTCTCTGGAATTAAGAGATGGATATCAACCATATTTGACTGGAAGCATCCCTAGGTAGGTCTTGCGCTGTTAACCCTTAGGCTGCTACATTGATTTTAATGTAAAGGGACACCACTGCTGAATTAATTATTGAAATATAAATTAATTTACTTGATTTTTCAGATGTGCATAACTTGAAAAAAAATGCTATATGTGAAAAAAAGTTATATGAAAATTGGCCGTTATTGTCTCTAGTTTATATTAACGTTTTCAATTCTAAAGTTGCTTCAGTATTTACCTGTACAGGTGGTAATAAAGGAAAGAAAAGGTGAAACTTTTAACTAATCGGATTTAAGCAAGAGAAAGATCATTTTAAAATTATTTTTGTCCGCAAATGTGATTGGAAAATGATAACAGAGATTATAAACTTCATTTTTGACATAAGACGCTGTACATTTACACGGAGATTCTCAGGTAAAAAGGTCAGGTATTTCATCAAGAATTGCATGTGATTTGCTGCAGGTTTCAGGTCGTCATTCAATATATTTACTGTAACAGTCGGCATATCGATATATCTTAGCTACGGTCTAGTTTATGATTAAATCATAGATAAATAGTTTGAAGAAATAAATCGTCTCAAAACGTGTCAATGTTCAATTCGGCCTCACCTGCAGACGACATGTGCGCCTCGGTCCGCCGATATTTTCCTGTTTGCGTAGGGCACAAAGCAGTTCATTGGAAAGTTACATATTATGTTACACCAAAGTATTTCCACATCAACTATGTCAAACCCTTCAAAACCTTTATTAACATCGTAGATGGCGTTGGAGAATAAATGTTTACCATCATATTCATCGCTTCAATCTACACATCCGCCTTTTTATGACTTTTTTTTCAATTTGAAATTCTCTCGTACACCATTGGTCATTACTAGGGTACACTGCCAGGAATATCGAAAGTAATGACAAAACAACCAATCAGAAGCTTTCTACTATACGCTTTCGGGTTCGGTATATATAGCAACAACCTAACTTCACACTTCCTGGCTACCGAGAAACGGCATATGCCTTGCGTAGCAGCCTAAGAGTTAAGTGTGTGCTTCTGTTGGAATATACCAGGCGCTAATTCCAAGCTCTTGAATCCAGATATCGATTTCCTTTCTATAGTAAATCTAAAGTTACCATGCTGCTTTGATTTTACATAGAGTGCTGCTTTAACAGAAGTATTGAAATACCATGCTTCTTTCAAAACATTCTGGGGAGAACAGTGAACCTGATAGAATTAAAAATACATTGTACAACTGACTTACATCCATAGCTGTGCTGTTCAAGCAAAGTAAAGTAAGCTGTAAAAACATATCTCGTAACATAAATTGTTTTATATGTATTAACTTTCTAGTGTGACATTGATGGCTGTGACAAGAAGTTTACCACGGTGTATAACCTGAACTCCCATAAACGGCTCCACGAACGTCCATGTGTGGAGCAGTGTACAGAAGAGGGGTGCGAGGAGAAATTCCCCACCAAGAGACAGCTTGACCTCCATATGAAGTGCCACAGTGGCATGGAGAAAACATACAAGTAGGGCACACTATTATCATGTTGGTAGCTTAATTGATGTGACGAGAGTTAATTAGACCAGCACTGAATTTGAGTTTTATGGATTAAATGAAAACAGAGCAAATTTATGTTTTTAGCTCACCTGCCTGAAGGGCAAGAGAGCTTATGCCGTGGTGCGGCATCCGTATGTCTGTACAGCCGTCGTCAACTTTTTCATTAAAACTACTTCTCAACAACCAAAAGGCCCAGGGTACTGATTTTGGGCCAGTATCATGCTTGGATAAAGGGCTACCAAATTGTTCAAATGAATGACCTTGACCCACTTTCAAGGTCACATGGGTTAAATGTGTTAATATCTTCAAACACCTTCTTCTCAATAACCAAAAGGCCCAGGATACTGATATTGGGCCTGTAGCATGCTGGGATAAATAGCTACCAAGTTTGTTCAAATGAATGACCTTGACCCACTTTCAAGATCACAGGGGTCAAATGTCTTCAAACCTTTAAACAACTTCTTCTGAATAACCTTAAGGCATCGGATAATGATATTTGGCCAGCAACATGCTGGGATGAAGGGCTACCAAGTTTGTGCAAATTAATGACCTTCGTACATTTTCAAGGTCACAGGGGTCACTATATGTTTAAATCTTTAAATGATTTGTTCTGTATAACATAAAGGTCCAGGGTAATGATAGTTTGCTAGAAGCATGCTGGGTTGAAAGACTTTTAAACATTGGGCCTATTGTTTATCTGTACCATGTAAATTGTGTGAAGAAAAAAAAAATAGGTATGGTATACAGTATGTCAACACTAAACAGCACTTAAAGGTACAATTTAGTGAAGTAACTTTTTATACCCCTGCTTTGACGAAGTCGGGGGTATATAGTGTTTGCTTCGTTCGTCCGTCCGTAGCATATCCCCTGTACTATTTCACTTAAGGTTATGAATCTTGGTTTCTGGGTACATGCATGGAAGGCGGTGTGTCCCGTACCATGTGTAGGTCACTGTGACCTTTGACCTACATAATGTCGCCAGAAAGGTTTCCAGAGCATATCTCCCGTACTATTTCACCTACGGTTATAAATCTTGGTTTGTAGGTGCAAGCATGGAAGGCGGTGTGTCGCGTACCATATGTGGGTCACTGTGACCTCTACCATTACTACGTTATCATTTACCAAACTATCATTTACCAGTGCAAATACTTGCAGCATATAAACTCACTTGATTCTTCCAATTCACATGCCTATCACTCCCACCAATTCCTGATCAATCAAAGCAGGGTATTCACGAAGGCCCCCCTTCGAGTTACATCTAGTTTTAATAATGTTGTCACAAAATTCTTCATGATTCTATAGTATGATACTCCTTATGAACAATTCATGTGGAGACATTCACAAGAGACAATGTTTTCTTTGCGTTTTTAATCGGTAATGGAGAAATCCTTAACTGTACAGCCGTATGTTTTAGCGGCAGCTGTCGGTGGATTTCTAGCTAACAAAAATATCATTCCAGCTGAGGAGAGAAGGTAACTTCTCGCTTTATTCACCTAGCCTCTCGGGAATACATGTACATGCATTTATTCTGAATCAAAATCATCTTCCCACATCGATCTTTATCTCAAACATCGTTATAAATGATCGAGTGATCTATATTGATATCATGCTTTTTGCGGTTTGAAATTCTCCCTGCGGCACCCTCTCAGTGTGTGTATGCTCTTATTTAACCTGTTCGTTTTTATTAAAATCCAAATATGAACAGAAATACCTTATTAGAGCTCTATATTATGATACTTATAATTCTTACTCGCAATGTATTGTGTAAATTCAAGAATGTGTTATGTGTGAACTCAGACTCATATAACTGGCACTGTGTTGTCGGTCGACATCGTAGTGCTGTACATGTTTACTTCTCACTGAAAGGCCCGGATATTGCGCTATTTATGTCGTAGCCATTTTTATCACAGGCTTTCCCAAAAGATGAAACTGACCACACATGACTTTGGCGTCAGGTTAGGTCATTATCAACTATGAAAACTTTTGTTAGGAGATACATATTTTCAGTTTCGACTCAATTTTCAAGTTGTCACTTGACTAAATAGCCCCTTTAACTTGATGTTACACAGGTGTCCTGTGGAGGGATGTGATAAAACTTTCTTCTCTGCTCATTGTATGGGCTCTCATCCCCGAGTCCACACCCAAGAGCGTGAGGACCTCACCTGCAAGTTTGAAGGATGTGGCAAAGTGTTTGACAAAATATGTCGGCTCAAACAGCATATGCGAAGTCACACGGGAGAAAAACCTTACATATGCCGATTTGAGGTATTAGTTGACATAAGATTTATTTAAGAAAAGGTGAATCTATAGAAAGCAGTACTAATTGTATCAAGTTTCATTATCTGAATTTTGTTTATGTCCCTCACCACAATTGTGTATTGGGTAGGGACACTGTTTATTATGACATCTTGGAACACTTCACATTTAGCTGCATTAATCATTAATAGTCAAATAGTCATTAAATTTTTATGTGGATACCAAAATATCAAATGTGTAATGTGTATCACTTTGAACATTTTTTCTGCTTCACTGACTACGGTTCGACTGTAAGTGATTATGTTTTACAAAAACTCTAGTACTATTGCACAGTCTCTGTTTGTGATAAAGTTGAGTAATGATTATTTGCAGGGCTGGGGTTAGTACTATTGCACAGTCTCTGATTGTGTTAAAGTTGAGTAATGATTATTTGCAGGGCTGGGGTTAGTACTATTGCACAGTCTCTGTTTGTGATAAAGTTGAGTAATGATTATTTGCAGGGCTGTGGTTGGGCATTTGCTACAGCCAGTAAGCTGAAACGTCACCAGGCAAAGCACACAGGCCTGAGAAAGTTTGTGTGCCCACAGTGTAATAAGGGTTTTATGAGAGCAGAGCATCTTAAAGGACACATGATGACGCACTCCGGGGAGAAACCCTACGCCTGTCCTGTTGAAGGTGCGTATATATAGGAAGCTGCTTTCATCATTTCTATTTGGAAAATCCATATAATCCATATAATGGTTACAGAAAAAAGCACAAGCACCATAAATGGGAGATGTTCCTTTTTTGAAGAATTATTTTGATTTAACCAAAGAGTTAAATCTGTATTATTTTGCTTCGTACTTAAATCTATGTTAGTATGATCATTTGGCCAATGGAAGTTTTTATGCCCCCGCCATAAAATAGTGTTGCCCATGTCCGTTCCATCACGTCCATGAGCGGGGGGCATTTATGTCTTACAGACGTTTTCTTGTTTTCAATAAATTGTGACCCCAATTTGTGCTTATGAATTTGCAACAAATTACAACAATCAGATGGGAAAAAAAAGACCAACTTTAACCGCACGCAGTGGTCAAACTGAGTGATCCAGGTCAACATCGTTTCAATATTGAACCACTCAACATCATGTTTCAAAAACTATTGAAATTGTTTATTATTTGTTTTATATTGCCAACATATTTTACCTCACAGGTTGTTTAGTGAAATTCACAGCAAAAAGCAGCCTGTATGTCCACATGAAGAAACATGAACAGTCTGAGGAGAAGATTATATACCACTGCCCGATGGATGGATGCCAGAGAAAATATTCCAGCAAGGTCACACTGCGTCAGCACATCGTAAAACAACACATCTCAGCAAACAGCGATGTTTCTCAGATGGACTTCACCACACTTCTCATTGGGGGCTTTCAGACGGACGAAGAAATGGCCGAGGCTCAGGCAGCCATTGCTGGTAAGACATCACTGATGATTAATGAATATCAGGTCATCACCGATGATTAAAGAATATCAGGTCATCACTGATGATAAATGAATATCGGGGCATCACTGATGATTAATGAATATCGGGACATCACTGATGATTAATGAATATTAGGTCATCACCGATGATTAATGAATATAAGGTCATCACCGATGATTAATGAATATCAGGTCATAACTGATAATTAATGAATATCAGGTCATCACCGATTATTAATGAATATCAGGTCATCACTTATGATAAATGAATATCAGCTCATCACTGATGATGATTAATGAGTATCAGATCATCACTGATGATTAATGAGTATCAGGTCATCACTGATGATGATTAATAAATATCAGGTCATCACTGATGATTAATGAATATCTGGTCATCGCCGATGATTAATGAATATCTGGTCATCGCCGATGATTAATGAATATCTGGTCATCGCCGATGATTAATGAATATCTGGTCATCGCCGATGATTAATGAATATCTGGTCATCGCCGATGATTAATGAATATCAGGTCATAACTGATAATTAATGAATATCAGGTCATCACCGACGATATATGAATATCAGGTCATCACTGATGGTGAATGAATATCAGATCATCACTGATGCTTAATGAATATCAGGTCATCACTAATGATAAATGAATATCAGGTCATCACCGACGATATATGAATATCAGGTCATCACTGATGGTGAATGAATATCAGATCATCACTGATGATTAATGAGTATCAGGTCATCACTGATGATGATTAATAAATATCAGGTCATCACTGATGATAAATGAATATCGGGGCATCACTGATGATTAATGAATATTAGGTCATCACCGATGATTAATGAAAATCAGGTCATCACTGATAATGATTAATGAATATCAGGTCATTACTGATGATTAATGAATATCAGGACATCACTGATGATTAATGAATATTAGGTCATCACCGATGATTAATGACTATTCGCTCATTACCGACGATCAATGAATATCAGGTCATCACTGACGATTAATGAATATCAGGTCATCAATGGTGATTAATGAATATCAGGACATCACTGATGATTAATGAATATAAGGTCATCACCGATGATTAATGACTATTCGCTCATTACCGACGATCAATGAATATCAGGTCATCACTGACGATTAATGAATATCAGGTCATCAGTGATGGTTAATGAATATCAGGTCATCACTTATGATAAATGAATATCAGCTCATCACTGATGATAAATGAATATCCGGTCATCACTGATGATTAATGAATATAGGACATTACTGATGATTAATGAATATCAGGCCATCACTGATGATAAATGAATATCAGATCATCACTGATGATTAATGAGTATCAGGTCATCACTGATGATGATTAATGAATATCAGGTCATAACTGATAATTAATGAATATCAGGTCATAAATGATGATTAATGAATATCAGGTCATAACTGATAATTAATGAATATCAGGTCATCACCGATGATTTATGAATATCAGATCATCACTGATGATTAATGAATATCGGTTCATCACTGATGATTAATGAATATAGGACATTACTGATGATTAATGAATATCAGGGCATCACCGATGATTAATGAATATTAGTTCATCACCGATGATAAATGAATATCAGGTCATCACCGATTATTAATGAATATCAGGTCATCACTGACGATTAATGAATATCAGGTCATCATTGATGATTAATGAATATCAGGTCATAACTGATAATTAATGAATATCAGGTCATAAATGATGATTAATGAATATCAGGTCATTACTGATGATTAATGAATATCAGGCCATCACTGATGATAAATGAATATCGGGTCATCACTGATTATTAATGAATATCAGGTCATCACTTATGATAAATGAATATCAGCTCATCACTGATGATGATTAATGAGTATCAGATCATCACTGATGATTAATGAGTATCAGGTCATCACTGATGATGATTAATAAATATCAGGTCATCACTGATGATAAATGAATATCAGATCATCACTGATGATTAATGAGTATCAGGTCATCACTGATGATGATTAATAAATATCAGGTCATCACTGATGATAAATGAATATCCGGTCATCACTGATGATTAATGAATATCAGCTCATCACTGATGATGATTAATGAATATCAGGTCTTCACTGATGATTAATGAATATCGGTTCATCACTGATGATTAATGAATATAGGACATTACTGATGATTAATGAATATCAGGGCATCACTGATGAATAATGAATATCAGGTCATCAGTGATGGTTAATGAATATCAGGTCATCACTTATGATAAATGAATATCAGCTCATCACTGATGATGATTAATGAATATCAGGTCTTCACTGATGATTAATGAATATCGGTTCATCACTGATGATTAATGAATATCTGGTCATCGCCGATGATTAATGAATATCAGGTCCTCACCGATGATTAATGAATATCAGGCCATCACTGATGATAAATGAATATCCGGTCATCACTGATGATTAATGAATATCAGGTCATCACTGATGAATAATGAATATCAGGTCATCACTGATGATTAATGAATATCAGGGCATCACTGATGAATAATGAATATCAGGTCATCACCGATGATTAATGAATATCAGGTAATCACTGATGAATAATGAATATCAGGTCATCACCGATGATTAATGAATATCAGGTCTTCACTGATGATTAATGAATATCAGGACATCACTGATGATTAATGAATATCAGGACATCACTGATGATTTATGAATATCAGGTCATCACTGACGATTAATGAATATCAGGTCATCACTGATGATTAATGAATATCAGGTCATCACTGATGGTGTGCTTTTGTTGGAATAATTATTACATATTTTAAATCATTCAACAGAATAATGAGTGTACATGGATAAGAAAATCTTATTTCTTGAGTTGAAATTCTCTGAACCAGAACTTCTTTTTTTTAGTTTCCTCTGTGAGCACAACCTTGCCCAATGATAACCTAGAATCTCCCAACACAATACTCATCGACCCATCAGAGTTCATCACAACCAGTAAGTTTGGTTTTACTCTATCAATTTCCTTTTATTTTTCTTAAAATTTATTATATTCAAAGATTGAAGCCACAAGTCAACATGACATTATGTTATAGAAGCATTAAAACAAAAGTAACATTACCAAAATAGTAAATTCATCTTGGAACAATTCTTTTTTCTATATTAATTTGAAAACAAGACTTCACAAAATTATTGACACCAATTTCTTTTCTGAAAAAGTGGTATTTTATCCACTTTATTTAGCTGGACTATTACTCTGCCCAGTCCGAGCTTGCTAGCTTGTGAACGTTAATCTCATCCTTTTTATCCACAGCTGCCACCATTACAAATGCCGAGGATGAGGCAGGGACAATGCAGCAGATAAGTCCTGCTGTGTTGAACCAGCTCTTGTCTTCTGTTGACCATCAAACTACAACATCCTGTGACCAGCATCAGGAGGATACCCCTAATATAAACATAGCCATCTCCTCTGGTGAGTTCTTCTGTCTACCAGAAATCAGCTATTTAAACCTATACAAATTCTGTTTTATTATTAATAAATATTATTTACAAAGTATCCAGCACAAAATCAAAACAAACCCTGGATATTACACTTCTCATTGTTATTATTTAACAAATACATAATTTAGGACAACAAAAATTGGTACCCCCCAAAATACATACATGTACCCCCAAAATCTGCTGGTGTACCCCGAATTTTGCAAACCTTGGGGGTACCAAAAGTCCCAGATAGAAAAATGAGTGCTTTGCTTATATTATTGTGTTTAGAATTCTCTTTACTTTAGTGATACTCTAGCTTTCAAGTATTTAAATCATATTTTGCATTTAAATATACATTGCATCTGCCCAGAATAAGATTTTAAGACGATCTATTGCAGATGCAGAATCTGTACCTGGCAGGGTCTTACAGGAGAACAACAGTGGATCAGCCCGAACAGACTTTCGTAGCAACCATCTCTTGAGTGACAGAGCACGGAAACGACGACAGTTACTACGGGAGAAGGTGTCCTCTGTAGGAGCAGACCAGTCCTCATTCCATGGTAACTATGGCTACACAAAATTTGATGATTATTGTCCAAAGAACACAATTTATTTTGTAATTTTAATTCAGGATAAATGTGTAAATTGTTGATCAGAAATCAATAATATTATGTCCAACTGAATTGTAATTATGTAATTTGGTCTTCAATCTATGTCTAAGGAATCCATTCTCTCTTCCCAGCCTCTAATCCTATGAAATAAAACCTTTGTAACCTGAGTATCAGTTTGAGAGGTTTAGGTTTTATTCTCCATACCTTAATCTCTTCTATTTAAAATATTTCAAGGATAAGACACTGGTACAAAATATGTTTTGGTTTAATTTATAAATACCAGTATTTAAAAGCTACTCGACAATGCCTGTTTTGATGACATGCTTACTTAATGCTGAATAATTTATAACCCTTAAACTAACACTTATTGAAGATATAGGGAATGGGGTAGAATGTATATTCTTCATTTTAGCATTATATATAAATCACAGGTGTTTAGTGTATTAAGGTATGATATCGAAATCACAGTTAAACTGTGTTTAGCATTCAGGCAGTTTTTCAGAAAAATTAACCAATATTTCTAAAATCTTCTTCTCCAGACTCGGATGTACTACAGTCATTTTCTCTGCATGGAAAGAAAGATCATCAGGGGCTTTTAAATTGTAAATTTCAGGACCCCCGAGCTATCCGTCTTGGGGAGGGGGTAAAGTTTACTATAGTTTATATAGGGAAATAACACTTTTGGGTATATTTTGACAATTTTCTGTAGGAAATTATTTTTACTTGGTGAGGATTATCCTTGAAGGAAGATGGGGCCCCAAAGGGAAAACTAACCAATATTTCAATAATCTTCTTCTCCAGACTCAAAGGTACTACAGTCAATTTCAGTGCATGGATAGAAAGATCATCAGGGGCTTTATTTAAATTGTCAATTTCAGGACCCCCGAGCTATCCCTTCTCCCTTGGGGAGGGGGTAAAGTTTACTATAGTTGATATAGGGAAACAACACTTTTGGGTATATTTTGACAATTTTCTGTAGGAAATTCCTCAATCTTAGTCAGAATCATCTTTGGTGAATGAGGTATTCCATTGTAAAATTGGGATTCCTGCCCCATCCCCAGGGGCTAGGGTGAGGCCCCAAAGGGAAAATTTACCAATATTTTAAAATTATTATCCTTTGTTGTGGACATGACAAGTATCGATTTCACTTAGTTTACATGCTGATTTCCACATCACATCTAAACAATAAAATAAAGCTACCAGTACCTATGATATAACTCAGGTGACCGCTAAGGCCCTTGGGCCTCTTGTATCAATTAAGTGCCTCCCAAACCATCCATTCCATTGCTATGTGGATTGCAGCCTACCCTTTCTAAGTAACAAATTCTCGAATACGGATCATTTTAATCACATGTGAATAATTTGACTATCAGTATCATGTCAGAATAGTGTAAAGAGAATTACATGTGTAGCATTTCAGAGAATTTTGCGTTGAAAATGTATATAAGAAATTAATCCATTATAAGGAATGTTGGAATTTTTTAGATGCAACAAATGACCAACAGAGTAATTTCAATGTGCCCACCTCAACTGTGTCGTACTCGCCGTCGAACAGCATGACATCAAGGGGGATAACTTTCCGTGATCCTGAAACCGGTGTTTTATATGTACAGACCCAGCTGTTACAGGTATGTGTATAATGTACAAAAAGATGGACTGACAAACTTGACTCTCCACTTAGGATAAGAAACATGTGGCTAAATACCAAACTAATTATTTTTTTCTGTATTATTATAACACCATTTAAGTAATAATGTTGGGTTTCCACAGCCTTGAACTTTAATATTTGATGAAGTTAAAGTTTAAATTGGTTCATTCATAAAATCATATTAATATCTGTAATTCTTTTATATATGGAGAAATTTAAGTATAAACTTTATTTATTTTATAACAATTATGAAAGAAGTTATTTCAACTTATATTAACAACTCTTGAAAGAATAAGACCCTAAGAATAAGAAATTTATAATTATTGTTATTTAAGGATTAACTTGAATATATTTTTTATGTTATGGAGATATAACATAAAAATACGGAGTGTACTCGAAATAAACACTCCGTTTTTTTGTGTTATAGCTCCATAACATGAAAAATATATTCAAGTTAATTCTTATAATATAATTCTTATAATATAATCTCCTTAACACAATCCCTGTGGAAATCCACTTTTATTGATGGACTCTTTTCTCTTAGAAATTGTTATGCCGTTGTATCAGCCAATCAAAAGCGATGTTACAAACGGCGACTTCATTGGCCAAAGGGTTCTCAGTTTTGTATAAATGGAGGGTATGGTCCCCCTGGGGGCAGAGGGGCGGGGCCAAATAGGGGGAAAATAGGTAAATCTTTAAAAAGCTTCTTCTTTTCAACCAATAGAAGGATTTTGACCAAATTTGTCCTAGAGCATCTTTGGACAAAGGAGGCTCAAGTTTGTATAAACTGAGGGTGTGGCCCCTCTTGGGGCGGAGGGGCAGGGCAGGATAGGGGAAATAGAGGATTTTTTTTCTCCTACTATACAAGTGAAGGGATTTAAACCAAATTCAGTCTGAAGCATGATTAGGGACAAAAGAATCAATTTTGTTTAAACTGAGGTGTGTGGGCCCCCTTCTTTGGGGCAGATGGGTGGGGCCCATTAGGGGAAATAGAGGAAAATATTAAAGATCCTTCTCCTTTTGTACCGATGAAGGGATTTTGACCAAATTTGGTCTGGAGCATCATTGGTCAAAGGGTTCTCAGTTTTGTATAAACGGATGGTATGGCCCCCCTGGTGGCAGAGGGGTGGGGCCAAATAGGGGGAAAATAGGTAAATCTATGAAAAATAATCTTCTTTTCAACCAATAGAAGGATTTTGACCAAATTTGTTCTAGAGCATCTTTGAACAAAGGAGCCTCAAGTTTGTACAAACGGAGGGTGTGGCCTCTCTGGGGGCATGGGGGTGAGGACCAATAGGTGAATTTTTTTTCTCCTACCACAGGGTTCGAATTTAACCAGATTTTCTACTTGCATTTTTTCGCAAGTGGTATTTTTTCTTACTTGCTAAGTGAGAAAACAACTTGCAATTTGCATTTTTCCAACTTTATTAGACATGTTGACGTAGAATTAAATTCTAAAACAACACAGTATTAACTGACATTTTAAATTATGGTCATTGGGATGTATACATGACGCAAACCTTGCTGTGAAAGGATGCTGGCCTGCTCAGGCTATTCTAAGATATAGCATAAAAACTGCATCTTAGTTTCTTGCTCCATATGGTAGAGTATTTGGTCTTTTCTGTCTTTGTCCCGACAACCACCATCTTGTCACAGCAGGTTTTGGGTCATACTCTCTAAGGGCAACATCAGCAACTTGTCCATTTGTTATTTTGCCGGTGCAGTGAGCTGTGAAATTTAACCTTGGGAAACCCCAATACAACCACGTGACTAGTCAAGCCTATCGTATTTGCGCTATAAATAGTAACTAAAAATAGATTACCGAAAAACATCATGCATGCGGTAAACGTCATCATTATTTGTGCAGGTACTTCCTAACGGACATGCGCACGGGACATGTATCGATTGTAAACTTCCGTTAATGACAAAAGCTGAATCATTCATTCGGCGAATGACAAGAATGCGCTTAAATGACCGCGAGTTGTCAAAGAAAGAATTTGTAAAGACCGACCATTAGAAATGAGGATTATTCAGCCCAAAATTTTCACTCGCAAAAAAATGCTGGTGTCTGAAATCTCTACTCGCAGTTTGCAATTTGCACTCACTTTTCGCGAGTATGCGAGCTTAAATTCGAACCCTGTACCATACAAGTGAAGGGATTTAAACCAAATGCAGTCTGAAGCATGCTTAGGGACAAAGGAATCAATTTTGTATAAACTGAGGTGTGTGGACCCCTTTCTTTGGGGCAGATGAGTGGGGCCCATTAGGGGAAATAGAGGAAACATTAAAGATCCTTCTCCTTCTGTACCGTTGAAGGGATTTTAACCAAACTTGTTCTAGAGAATCTTTGGGCAAAGGGAATTGTACATTTATAAATGGAAGATGTGCCCCCCCCCCCCCGGCAGAGGAGCAGGGCCCAATAGGGGAAATAGAGAAAAATATTTTCCCTTCTGTACAAATAAAGGGATTTTAACCAAATTTGATCTGAAGCATGCTTAGGGGGGAAAAAATAAATTTGTTTAATTTGTATAAAAAGGTGCATGTGAGGCCCAATGGGGAAAATTGGGACATAACATGGAAACTCAATTTCTTGGTGTCTTTCCCACCAAAACAGATTTATTTATATGTAGTTCCTCTTGCAACTTTGTTTCTTTTACTCCTTTGATAAACCTGTATGGTACTCAGCAGGTTTTAAATTGAAAAATAAAATACCAGGGGAGCTATTAAGGCCCTGGGCCTCTTGTTTATTAAAACAAGAAAGTTTATAACAGGTGAATGTTAAGATTAATTATCCTGTACATGTATCTTGTTTTTCCAGGATGACCCCCCAACCCCTGACCTTTACTCTGAGGAGACTGCCTTAGGATCTGACCTTTCATCGCTCAATGACACGTCCGGTAGTGATGTTAGTGAGCATAATTTACATACAGTGGAGTTTGTTACCGGCTCAACAATTAACATGAAGGATCTGGAATAGTTTTAACTGGATCTTATCGTTATTTATACAGGATAAACGTTCAGAGCAGTTAAGTCTGTAGGTTTCACTCGATATTAAAATCCTCAAAGTCCTGAAACAGCGCACATTTTCTTACTGGAAGAAAATAAGCTAGTGTTGCAGCCTTAGATGGTCTGTGATAGCAGCTTGTTCTTCCAAACATGGTTGCCTGGTCACCATGATGTTGTGGTGTACCTGTAGGATGTTTGAGGATTTCATTATCAAATCCTTGCATTTTTGTGAAACACGATTATCAAGCACCAGCTAACATTGATAAAGACATATCTATTGATAAGTTGGCTGTCAAAATCAGCAATATTATTGCAGATTTTGTTACAATATTAACTTGCCATACAATATTAATGTAAATAAAATATTCTGAAAATTAAAATTCACTCTGTTAACTAGAATGTAATGTGGCTATCTGAAACTTAGACGGGTCAAGTTTTTCACATGTGATAACAGCCAAACTCCATCTTTGGTTGCTTTACTGTAACCCCCATACTGTGCCACACAGTAAAAAGTTGATTGTTTGAAATGTCAAATAGCGATGGTGTTAACAAAAAATAGGTTATACAGTATCATGATAACTGGATGATGTTGTTTGTGTACAGGATTGTTTATTGTGCTAATCAAAATTTTGGAAGTTCTCCTAATACTACACTCGCATAATAACATGTCAATATCAACAGTATAAGCATAATGGCACCAATTTATTAAGAATAGCTTTTTTAGAGAAAAATCATGAAATTCTGATTTTGTTACATAAATATAGTATCATTTGATAGACACATTGTAAACATATTTTGTTTTTTTAATTTATAAATTTGAAGATTGTCAGCCTGAAAATGAAATAATTTATTATTTATATGAACTGCTATATTTAAAGCAGCCTTACCACTTATATAACAAATTGGTGTAGTTCTTATTTTATCAGAAGTGACATGGAACCATCCACAATATTCAACAGTTCTGGTCTCGATACAAAATCTTCTCTGCACCCTTGGATTATATCAACAGTTCTGGTCTCTATACACAAATCTTCTCTGCACCCTTGGATTATATCAACAGTGCTGGTCTCTATACACAAATCTTCTCTGTACCCTTGGATTATATCAAGACAAAACTCAAGGCTCTTTATGGATTACAGATTATACAAGAAGTCTAGTGTGATATATTTGACAAAATTCAAAGAAAGTATACCTAAAAAATGAAATATCTTTAATAATGTAGCCTTCTATTTTGTCATAACATATGCGAGCGGTGCAGAGAAGATGTGCATAGAGGGCTGAACCAATGGATTTTGAAGAGGCATGGATCAACCTACTGGGCTACGCATTAGTTATTTAGTTTTCTATATCCACACTGTTACCAGGTGTAGTTGGTGATCTCGCCAGAAGTTCTTGTACTGTACGGTTGCGTTTTTAATAAGATGTGAAACACCTACCAAACAGTAATAATTATGGACCTTACCGGGTTAGCATAGGCAAAATTAGATCAAGAAAGTATACCAGTCTGTCTTTTAAAATATATACTACGATTTTAAATATTAAGATCAGAAATCCTCAGGTCATGTATGTATACATCATCAGTGTATTAAGCAGTATTTGATCAGGTAAACATGTTTTACAACATAAAATTTAATTCATGTTTGTAAGTTTAAGAATTGCTGTCAAATTATAATATATACAAAATCATGTTGATGAACAAATCTATCAGCATTGGATGAATATGATGTTTAACTATGCCTAAAATGTCCTTATCACATACATTTCCACTATCAGTTCCTCTTTAAGCATCACCAGAAGAAGTAGCTGTAATAAGGGCAATTTGATCAGCGTCATTTTGAAGCTTCCCCTCCTGCCTTCAATAACACGAGACAACTGTTAGAAGTAAACATTTTGGTGATACATGTATGAGGCTGTTCAGGAATCTGGCCTTGATCACACAAACACTCCAGTATCAAAAACATAAGGGATTACCTATAGGCGTGTATCAATTAAGTAAAAAATATAGCATGTAGATATATATAGACAAAATGCTGTTAAATCTTTAAATGTTTATGATTTTGATGAGCTTGCATACTTGTAAAGACGTTTTTGTGACTGTGCTTGTATAGTGAAACCTGACATTAGCAAGATCAGAGTTGGGGGAGGATAAATTGACTAGGTAAGACTGTTGGTCTAGTCAGTTTTGGTTGCAGATAAAAAAGTCTTTTAGGTCCTAAAATCTTGTCTGACATTGCAGAACCACTTAGAATTATATCTGTAAATTGTTTTTTGTCGTCATAAGCCAAATTCAAGGTCACTATTATAAAATAATAATAATAATAATAATAATGCTTTATTTATAGAAGGTAGCTCAATTAGTTACAGAACTATTCTCCCTTGAGGCCTTCTCTACAATCTACGACAATGATATCTACAGAGTAATACCATTACATATGAATTTAAATTCAGATATAATTAAAAGTCAACATTGCAAAGACTTGAAATACAATTCTAGCGTAATTACAGCCAAATATGTTGCTGTAAAATGTATAGTACATGGACACAATGCAATTATATTATCAATACTTAAAATATGAAATCAAGAAGCATATACTCTAAAGTAGGGGGATGGGCTTATAACAGGACAAAAAAGTAGCATTGGTTTGCATCTCTACTGAACTGCAATAATATTTGGAGGGCTTATTACAAGACATGGGCGAATTTTAGATAAAAATACTACTTAATAATTGAATGCTATAATTTTCATGATCATGTACAAAGTGATAATGTGATGCATGTTAAAGAGATATGTTCTTGTAAACGATGGCAAAAAATCCTAGTTCAGTAAATTGAAATCAAGACACTGCCTTTCACATTAAAGTTCAGAAGAAATTGGATTTCAAACCATGATTCTTCATATGAACTTGATGTCAACTCTGAGCCAATAATGTGTGTCACATTCAGTGATTTGGGTTATCTTATCAATCATTAACAACCTGATCTGGACACCACTTGAATGTCAGTATTAGTGTATGTGGAAAGCAGCTGATAAGGTAACAGGCCATCAATTTCATTTTGTTCATTTATGTCTACAAATGAATATAACCGGGTAAGAATATTTTTGTAAAGGTAATAAATTACAATTATCTGACATTTAAACATACTTTTTTAGCAGTAATCTAGTTTTTGCACTTTTCGTGGTATAAATTAATGGATATGCTATTAATCAAAGTTTCTGTATATTGTTTTCTATTGCATAGTTTTTGGGTTGTGCAAATTCTCTGTTTAACAATTGATAATGCTCTAATATAAGTGGACTGAAATAAGTGTGTTTACACCAAAATGTAAAAATTGTTAGGCCAGACAAGTAATTTTTGAGTTTACTTTTCGGATCTCAAAAATACAGGTGGTATAGGCAAAACTTTCTGTTTTGTTAAGTATTTTTGCAAAGATAATAAAGTGTTTCAGATTCATTGTGCTATTTACAATAAGTGAAAATTAACCAGTGGAAGTAGGCACTAAACTCAGGAGTAGAGGATGGTTTAAGTGCTTAGCTAGGCAAGTTTCCTGAACCAGATTGACACTCGCAAGATGTTTGCTTTGGAAAAATATGTTTCAGTGTTTTGTACATCTACTTGAGTTATGTGTACTAGTAGGTTTTTAAAACAGTGTTGTGTACCTGGAAACAAAGTGTATGGTAACTTGTAAAGTTATTTAAAGCCATGGAAACACCACTGTTAAACACACATGGTACATAGGTTCAGCTACTGGTCCTAAATATTATATTGTGTAGTATGAAGTAAATATATATACAGGACTATACAGTTCCTGTGCTGTAGATGGAACAGTTTTGATATTGTGTATGAATTCCAGTAAGACTATATAATGGTCCTGTATATGGTGGCTCATGTTATGTGTGTGTTGAGAGAATCGTATGAGAGTATTTACATGTATGAATGTTAACTTCTGTGTCAGAAGTTGTGTCATTAAATGGTGCTTGAAGCATTTGAATATAAAATTGGCTTTTGTTATTTATAAGCTCATTTAGATTGGCTAGCCAAGGGTCCAGCTTAAACCATGTGTTGTCTTGTAAGGCATTTCTAACTGCAAAGGAGAACCTTTCTGGTAGGTACCTATCTATCTAGAGAGCAAAAACTGAAAAAAGTCATCACCATAAAATAAAATATGTTTGCCTATAACAACTGCTGTAAGGTATTCCATTTTACTGATATTTACAGTGAATAAGTTACAATGAAATTGCCTAGAAAGGACTTGTTATTTCCACTAGGTTTTGCTGTATTTTTTTTTACGTAAGCTCATGTTAATTACTACTACACAGAAATATTTCTTATGAAGTTGTTTATACATTTTATTGGCCAGATTGCAAACTGCAATGCAATAAGGGAATTTAGATTGTTGATTCCCGTCAGCCCATCTGTCTGCACTTAGGTTAAGAAGAATCGTTAAGCTCAGTTTCCAAGTTATTTATTATTCCACATCAACTAAACTTGCATGGCTTATAGGAGGATGCTAATCACATGCAATGCTTCGGATGCTGCTTCTGACCTAAATTTTCTGCTTGACTGACCAGGTTAAGAGGATTGGTTGAGGTCCGGCCCCATCTCCACTATGGTTAAGAAGATTGGTTTAGGTCACTTACCAACTAATTACCTATCCTAGTGCTTTCTCCTCTTTAGAGGCTCACCAGGGGAAGTCTTGTTAGCTCACCTGGTCCGAAGGACCATGGTGAGCTTATGCCATACCGCAGCGTCTGTCGTTCGTCCGTCAACTTTTCCTTTAAAACGCTACTTGGCCTGAACGGCCAAGCAGATTTTGACTAAATTTGATCTAGAGCATCCTTAGGCCAAGGGGACTCAATTTTGCATAAATGGTGGGTGTGGCCCCCCTGGGGGCAGAGGGGTGGGGCCCAATAGGGGAAATAGAGGTAAAACCTTTAAAATTCTTCTTCTACCGTAGGGATTAAGGGATTTTATCCTAATTTAGTCTGGGGCATCCTTGGGCCAAGGGGACTCAATTTTGTATAAATAGTGGGTCTGGCCCTCCTGGGGACTGAGGGGTGGGGCCCAATAGGGGAAATATAGCAAATTCTTTAATATCCTTCTTCCTCTGTAGGAATGAAAGGATTTTTTCCATATTTTGTCTGAAGCATCCTTGGGTGAAGGGGAATCAATTTTGTATAAACCATGGGTCTGGCCTCCTAGGGGCCTGAGGGGCGGGGCCCGATAGGGGAAACATAGCAAATTATTCTTTAAAATCCTTCTTCTTCTGTAGGAATGAAAGGATTTGGTCCATATTTGGTGTGGAATATCCTTGGGTAAAGAGGAACCAATTTTGGATAAACAGTGGGTGGGACCCCCTGGGACCTGAGGGGCGGTACCAATAGGGGAAATAGAAGTAAAACCTTTATAATCCTTCTACCATAGGGATTAAGGGATTTTATCCTAATTTAGTCTTGAGCATCCATTGGCAAAAAGGACTCAATTTTGTATAAACAGTGAGTGTGGCCCTCCTGGGGGCAGAAGGGAGGGGCCCAATAGGGGAAACAGCAAATTCTCCAAATACCTTCTTCTGTACGAATGACAGGATTTTGTCCAAATTTGTTGTGGAGCATCCTTGGGTGAAGGGGAACCAATATTGTATAAAGGGTCTACCCCCCTGCAGGTAGAGAGGTGGGGCCCAATAGGGGAAATAGAGGTAAAACCTTTAAAATCCTTCATCTACCATAGGGATTAAGGGATTTTATCCTAATTTAGTCTGGAGCATCCTTGGGCCAAGGGGACTCAATTTTGCATAAGCAGTGGGTGTGGTATCCCAGGGGGCAGAAGGGCAGGGCCAAATAGGAGAAATAGAGGTAAAACCTTTAAAATCATTTTTCGACCATCGAGATTAAGGGATTTTATCCTTATTTAGTCTGGAGCATCCTTGGGCCTGAAGGGGTCTCATTTTTTTTTTTATAATTGGTGGGTATGACCCCTGCTAGGGGTATAGGGGTGGGGCTCTGTTTGAAGTTTGTTCTCGCTATATCTCAAGTACTGAATGGATCTTTCTGAAATTGTATATGTACTTACAGCACCTACCATGGAGTGCTATACCTTTACTTCATAGCAATTATTTTAAACATATTCAGGTGAGCGATACAGGCCCTCTGGGCCTCTTGGTTTTATTAGGTCACCTAAGCTTTAGCTCAAGTGGCCTATTGCTATCCGTCTTCGTCCGTCGTCCGTTAACATTTTACATTTTCAACTTAAGCTGAAATACTGGCAAAGGAATTTCATTAATATTTCATGGGAAGGTTACTGACATCTCCCTGACCAAGTGTTGTTATTTTTCGGGTCGATCAGAAATCCAATATGGCCGCCACGGCCGCCATTTTGAAAAACTATTTCAAACTTAAAGTCGAAGTTCTGCGGGGTCGATTGAACTGAAACTTAGTAGGAATGATCGACTCATGGTCCTGACAAAGTGTTGTTATTTTTCGGGTCGATCAGAAATCCAATATGGCCGCCATTTTGAAAAACTATTTCAAACTTAAAGTCAAGTTCTGCTGGGCCAATTGAACTGAAACTTTGTAGGAATGATCGACTCATGGTCCTGACAAAGTGTTGTTATTTTTTGGGCCGATCAGAAATCCAATATGGCCGACAAGGCCGCCATTTTGAAAAACTATTTCAAACTTAAAGTCAAGTTCTACTGGGCCGATTGAACTGAAACTTTGTAGGAATGATCGACTCACGGTCCTGACAAAGTGTTGTTATTTTTCGGGTCGATCAGAAATTCAATATGGCCGCCACGGCCGCCATTTTGAAAAGAGTATTTCAAACTTAAAAACTAGTTCTAATAGGCCGATTTAACTGAAACTCGGTCTAGGTATGATCAGCTCATGGTCCTGACAAACTTAAGTCAACGTTATACTTAACTATTTTGTACTCAAATTGGTACATATTTCAACAACAAAAATAAATACTGTAGGACTCAGGTGACCGTTTAGGCCCATGGGCCTCTTGTTCAAATCACCCTGCGTCCGTCGTCCGTCCTTTAGAAACAATTCTTGTTATTGCTATTTCTCAAGAAATACCAGATGGATCTTTCTCAAATTTTATATGTAAGTTTCTTGGACTTGAGTTGTGCAGGGCAACTTTTAAGACTGACCGGATAAACAACATGGCCGACAGGCAGCCATCTTGGATTTTGATAGTGAAGGTTTGTATCACTATTTCTCAGGAAGTACCAGAGGGATCTTTCTCAAATTTATATATGTAGGTTCCCCTTCTGACAGGTCCCTAGATGTGCAGGGAAACTTTTGAGACTGATCGGATAAACAACATGGCCGACAGACAGCCATCTTGGATTTTGACAGTGAAGGTTTGTTATGGCTATTTCTCAGGAAGTGCTGGAGAGATCCATCTTAAAGTATATATGTAGATTCCCATTGGTCTGTAGTTGAGCATGTTAAATTTTGAGACTGATCGGATGTAGAAAAGGGATGACGGGCCACCACCTTGGATTGTGACATTAAAGGTTTGTTATCACTATTTCGTTAAAAGAACTGGAGGGATCGTTCCCAAGTTCGTTATGAAGGCTCCCCTAGGTCTGTAGTTGTGCATGTTTAATTTTCAGAATGATCAGAGAAACAAAATGCCCGAGAGGTTCTTGGGTGGTGACTTTTAAAGGTTTGTTATCACTGTTTCTCAGGAAGTACTGGATGGATCTTTCTTAAATTTGATATGCAGCTTTGCCTTGGTCCCTCGTTGTGCATGTTAGCTTTTGAGACTGATCAGATAAACAAAATGTCCGACAGGCAGGCATCTTGGTTTTTGACAGTGAAATACGCGTTTGTTATTGGAGTTACCTCCCTTGTTCACGAACTTTCAACATGGATGCGCCCATGCATGTGTCCAGTCTAGATGTGATTCAGGTACTTTTTAAGATGATGATTTATTTACACTTATTGCCGTTAATTAGCTCTTATTAATTTACTCCTATAAACAGTATTTTGGCATTATATCTCAGTATAAACGCCATCAATACATAATTTAGATGCTATTTCGTGATGCCGACCCTCTCAATATTATTCGACATTGCATGTCCGTTACCTCATGATCAGCAGAGGCCAGTTTGTTATCAGAGCCATGCTTACGGTTTGTATTACCATAGACCTAAATTTACTTTAGGTCTCTGGTATTACATACATTAGTGGGTGTAGTGATGGTTATGATCACTCGGAACAACGGAAATAAATTAAATTACTATATTTAATTGTCAATTTACTGTTCTTTTATGGAACAAAATTACTCTCAATCATGTACACTTTGGAAATCATTCCATAGCCCGCTAATACGACAAGGAAAACATGTGTATACGAAAGGTTGGAAGTCCTTAAACAAGATATCTGACCCATAACATTTAATACTACAATAGAAAAGGACACAAAAACTATAAATTTGTGGATTGATCACTTGTAATATATCGAAGAACTGCATGAACTGCGATGCCAATTATCAAGTCAGTGTATTCCTCCATTCAGCAGGTTGAGCATTAGCCCGAGTTTTCCTCTGGCCCTGACACCAGACTTAAAGTCAGTGCAGGCAATTCACCATGATACCCACCCAATGACAATGGGGTAGTCGACCGTTGAAAGCCCTGGACCCTCTCATCCGGACACGAAGAAAAACATTATTTTGGCACTGATTTGGAAGTTTGTATTTGTTCCTGAGTGTCCATTGAAATGAATGCAAATTGACTTCATCTCATTTGATCCCGGCTTAGAATATCTTACCTAAACATCATTACACTTTCTTCAAGTTACCGAAAATTTACTATCTCAACTTTAAAGAAAAGTTATTTATTTCAATGTTAATCATTTGGAGCTGTTCGTATCAGTACGACTTGTGTAACATAAACATACAAAATTTTACATTTAAACACTTACATTATTTGCAAATCAGTGAAATGTTTGAAGGTGGCGAAACTGCCTGCACCTTTGAGCAAAACCACTGAAGGCCTGATGACGTCACAGATGTCTTCATTTGACGTCATTCAGGCGTGGTTCAACAATGTTTATTTATAGGCATTTCAGTCCAATCTTCTTCTGTACTGCTACACATTGGCATTTTGATACCTGCACAAAATGTCTTCTGGTGTCTGGGCCAGAGGAAACTCGGGCTAGTTGAGCATAACCTCTCTGTAGTCTCACATGGGTAATTTGCCCCAGTTTTTCTGGCTCCACACCAGACATCTATCTGTTAGTTGAAAAATGTCTCAAGTCTGTTGCTGGAGCCAGAGGAAACTTATGGGTCATATAACTCTGTATTTGGGTTATGGTTACTGTTTACAGAATAATAATAATTATACTTATATTTTTAGAGGGTACAACTCATTGAGCAAACAATAAAGGCTCATCTTCCATGAGGCCCTCTTCAAAAAGGTACACATGTACAAACATAGACGAACATACAATTTATAACAACAAATAATCAATATGCACTCAATACTATTCATAATATATATAGTAAATAAATATATGAAGACAGAAATCAATTTTATTCCTTAAACTGAAAGGCTAGGGGGAATAAATTGAAATAAAAAACTAAGCTCTTTTAAACATTTGGAACTAAAAAAGGGTGTCATTTTTTCAATAGCATCCAATAAATTATAAATAAGAAATATAAATGTGTACAAGAATTTATTAATTCAGATATCTTGACTTTTTGTAAAAATGACAAACTACATCACTTCCAATGCTTATGTTGAGGAGTAGAACACAAAACTCCATGCTCACCTGTCAAACTGGATGCTCCCATGGACTACACACTGGTCAGTGGAGAATATGAACATAGCGATAATTAAATGTCTGACTATGCAGATATTGAATTTTGTAACCAGTTTGTGGTCTTTGACCGAGCAAACGATTAACTGGCTAACCAGTTACAACCCTAATAGAAAACTAAGATATAATATTGTCAAAGTATTATCTGGTTAATATGTGGAGCTACATACAAAAAGAATGCTAGGAATTTAAAATATCTATCCTGATATTGACATCTTTTTTCACTTTCCATCGAAGGAAAACTAGTGGTTGTGGAACTAATTGATGATGGCAGGACTTGGGTCAGTACAGCAGAAGATTTCCTGCGTGTTTGAGACAAAAGTCCTGAATGAGCCATCAAAGAAGAGGTCCTATCAACAATACAATGTGGTGGCAACTAATACCGTTAGACCAGCGGCCAGAAAGGATGGGATAGCCACAGCGATAGCCACAGAGAAACTGGATGGCACCTGTGTCTTTATATCAGAATTCCAAGGTAAAGATGTTAAATATTCACTCAAAGTAAAGTTTGTTATACTTGTGATTAGTTTTATAGAATTCAGATTTTATGTTGATGATGGTGTTGTCCTATAAGAATTCCATTTTTACTGTTGAAATCTGTACTGTAATCTTGTAGGCAAACCGTGGTTGTGGGCTCGCTTAGACAGAAAGCCAAACAAGGCTGCAGACAAACGCTTTAAGAAGTTCCAGACCCAGCAACAGCAAGGGGAAGGGGATCCTGGTCCTAAAGAGAAATTAGATGTCACATTCCATTGGGAGGTTCCAGGCAACTTCAAGGTCAGATCAGTGAAATTAATATGTATCATGTTGAACTTTGGATCATCAGAGCATTGGTCGAATCTGTGCTCTGCTTGGGGGTTACAGCGATTACACTATAGCTAATAAGTCATACAAATAATTAAACTTGTTATTCTTCTTTGTTTGTTATGGGGAAGTGATTTAAGTTTCATACTGTTATCATTAACATAATCCTCCGAAGAAGTGTATACTGACATATGACACATGGCAAAATCCTAGTTGACCTAAAGACATTTGTGACACACGTGCACTGCTGCTGGTCTGTAGGAAAGTTTTACCCTTTACCAATAGGCACTGAGGAGAGATTGCAACAGTCATTTAATTATGCATTCAGAAGTCCACTCTTTATTTATGACACAAGCAGAGCCAAAAGCTTCTGGTGGTTGGTCCTCGGAAGGAAAATACATTTAAGCTTTTTGACAACACAGACATTAAATAAGAATAACTATCCATTCACATCGGTTTCAGCAAATTTAAATGGTGTTTCTCCTGCATCTCAACTGACTGTATTGTGTTCTTTTTTCCTAAAACGTTATATAAGTATGTGTCTGGAGAACTCTCAGTACTTTGATTAGCTTACCATCATCAGACCTGATTAGCTTACCATCTTCAGACCTGATTAGCTTACCATCATCAGACCTGATTAGCTTTGACTGATTAGCTTACCATCATCAGACCTGATTAGCTTACCATCATCAGACCTGATTAGCTTACCATCATCAGACCATCATTCTACCTCTGTGGTCTGCTATCCATCATTTAGTCAACTTTTGTCGCTGCTATTTCTCAGAAACCATTTAAGGGACCAAAGTTATGCATGACTCCCTTGGTCAATAAGTTTTCAGGAATCCATCTTGGAATTTGCATGTGAAACGTTTTACTGTCCTTTCTCAGGAACTACTTTTAATAATGGATCATGGTGAAACACAGATTCCTAGTCTGTTGTACTTACCTGGAATCAGACAAATCAGAAAAAAACAATGGCCACCACACTCTCTTGGATTTTGTATGGATATAACATGTAACATGTTAGTTTAATTTGTTGCTGCTATTTTCCCAAGGTTACTAAATGGTTTTATTTTGAAACTTGGTATGCTTGACCCCTTTATTCTGAGAGGGATTGGAAAATCTGGCAAAGGAAAAGTCTTTTAAAGATCATGTTGCAACTTCGTTTTTGTTAAAGTCTGTAGGGGACATCTAACATTAAGTATAGTGATGGCATCATGTTAACTTTTACAGGAAGTTCCTGAGCATTGGATTCCAGCTTCAGGTGTTCCGATAGTTAACGGACAGCCACAGCCAGACGCTAACGGACACATTCCTGGTAATCCTAATCACCACAAACAAGCAATAAGGCAATTTTTTGTAATGTTGTTTCTGATTGAAAAGGATAAAGGAATGTGCAATACTTCGTTAAATTACTAAAGTTTCCTACCTTCAGGAATGCGCAATACTTTGTTAAATTACTAAAGTTTCCTACCTTCAGGAATGTGCAATACTTCGTTAAATTACTAAAGTTTCCTACCTTCAGGAATTTACAATTGCATACTTAGAATACCAGACCAAGGCTGATTTGAAAAGTTGTTCTAGACTGACATATATTTTCATAGTAAGTATTGAAGCTTTTCACTTACCTTGATATCACATCTAGTAGCCTTGTGGAACGGTACACCCCTGCTCTGTAACTCTATTTAACATTGCCATGTCAACAAAATCCTTTGATGTTTTTGATTGGTCATTACTAACAGTCTTACACTGATAATTTCACACAGGATGGGTGCCTGTTGATCTGAAGTCTCGCCAGCACTGTTGGCACCTGACTGCCGTTGACCTGGCACACAACATTGGACTCGTTCTCAGGTAAATAGTAGCTGGTTAATATAGTCTGATTTCCCTGGTCAGATTTGGAATATTTTTGAAGTTAGGGAGGTTGCTTTGTGACATTGTGATTTCCTACGTCTGTGAGGTTAAGACTCCGGATGAAATTTAAAGCATTTCTTAGTATGGTTAAGGACATTTCTTAGTGAGGTTAGGAGGTTTTTGAGATGAATATGCTATTTTTGTATCTTGAGTTATTTCCCTTCGTCATACATCCAATATTCATTGAGTGACTGATGTTTTTATAAATTCCAGGTAATTACTTTACGTGAATCTTTGATTTATTCCTAAAGATAAAGATAATTTATGATAAAAATGGTTATGTTGTAAGTTATGTGTCATTTTAAAGTAAACGGAAGTGGCTGTTTTTCATATTGATAGAGAAAAGACAGATGAAGGGAGAGAACTACAGGTGGACCTAGTGAATCTGTCTGAGCTGATGGGAAAAACAGCAGAATTGATTGGCACCCACATCAATGCCAATCCTTACGGTATGATTGACTAGCATTGTCTAACACACCTCTACAAATATTGACGATTTGACCTAGAGTCATGACCCAGTAATGATGGTAGTCATTGATCTGTTTACAGAATATGTCCATATGAAATCTGATACTTTGTTATATCAGCAGGGCAATCTGCTTTACTCTAACTAACACCTTTGAATTGCTTTATATGACCTTAATTATTTACAAACTACCGGAGTGGGATAATTGTCTTCACATATACTGGAGAGTGGCAATTTCACATTGAAGAAATGCTCACCTTTTTCATGTTGAGTAAAATAATGCAAAAATATGTACACACAAGTATTTTATTCATAGGTAATATAGATTATAGAACATAAAGATTTAAGAACCATAGCCAAGGCAAACATTTCCACACCACAATCAGCTTTAAAAAATCATAATGCACACAGTTCCACACACAAAAATGTCCACATTTTAGTATGTCTCGTTTTAGGAAGACCCACATCCTGCCAGTACAATGGCTGTTAACTGTGTGCTAATATACTAATTTTCTGTATTAATTATTCAAAAATAGCAGAATGAAATATGAATAACCAAATACTGTATACAGAAAAATACTTGCCACCTTATTATGTGTCAGGACATCAACTATTCATGTATCTCGTTTTACTGTAGGGATAGGGAACAAAGCCACACCCCTCCACCTAATGGTGCTGCATGGCAGTGTACGGGCAGCGGTCCCGAGGGGGGTCCACCTGGAGGAAGTGAGGGCGTGGTTAGAAGGCAATGAGCGTGGACGTGTTGAGGGTTTAGTGTGGCACTGTGGGCCTGGCTCCCTATATAAGGTAAGAACAGACCATGAAAGTGTAGACCTTGACCTGCTCACAATGTTTTAACTTTTGCCCATTTTATCTCCAAAATGAAAATGGTTACAGCATGATTTTAAGAATGAGTACAAGAGCTATTATATGTAAAATATATCACTGAAAAGCACATTTACTACTAGAGAAAGGTGGTTTTTACCTGTGTATGGCAAATAGTTCACCGGGTGAAGGTCCCTTGTATACACTACTATTACTATAAACATAAGGTGTCACTTACACGATGTTTCCCAACAGTGTTTTTGCTTCCTCAATCCAAACTATGCGTACTCAGTCAAAACAATTTTGTTGTTTTTGGAAATATGCTGTGGTTGGTTTGGACAATAAACAAAGAGTTGCTGAGTTTCAGGGTTGTGTAGGTCTGGATGCTGATAACCTGTAAGAGGCAGAAATTGAGCCCTAGTTACGTAAACATTGAACAAACCACAGTTGACTTTTTCTGAGGTAGAATTTTTCTGATTCTCAAATGTGCAGGATTCATGTTTCTTTTGTGAATGGAAATGCCCTTAGGTGCATTATATAAATTGTTCGTTTTATTACCCTTTGGTCGTCTGTTCTCCTTGGTTTATATAGGGAAACAACACTTCTGACTATATATCTTGTCCATTTTCAGCAAGAAATAATTCAAACTTGGTTGGAATAGTTATAATGAATTGAAATCAAATAATATCAGACAATAATATCCTTACCTATATCCCAGGGGTTGGCCAAAGAGGAAAAGTGGCTAAATAACAATAGATATTATACATCTCTCAAAAGCAAACTGATTTATCCTTTGGTGACATGGCAAGTATTGTATTTCACTTTGTTTACATGTTGATTTCCACATCATGTCTCAACAATGAAATTGAGCTACCAGTACCTATAATATAACTCAGGTGACCGCTAAGGCCCTTGGGCTCTTGTTAATGGTTAAAAAGGCATATAAACAGTCGATTACTACTTAGATTTACATATTATTACACGAAAATACATTAGTTTGACAAAAAAAAATAAAAAATGAAAGTTTTTTTTTATTTCTTTTTGAATCGTACAATCATATAACAAGCATGTTACATATTATTTCCATATTGTGTACAAGTTAAGCGAACTACACTGTATTATAATAAATATAAGATGTTTGCTTTATTCATTGTCACCCATCAATCACAGTTATATCATCGATAGCAATTGTATATATATATGTGACTGGAGAAGGTAGATCTTTTATGAGAACATTTGCACTTATAAGATGTTAAGTTACTTCTGTACTTGTTAAATGTTTTGCTAAAACTTGTTTCAGCTGTCAGGTTTATTGATACTGTGTGTGGTTTATATCCATTGCTCTTCACAGCTACATCGTCACCATGTAAACCTGCCTTGGCCAATCAGTGACCCTGCTTTAAGTCATCGCCCAGTTACTGTGGCAGTTGACTTAACAACATATGAAGTGGAGGAAGACAAGAAATCGTGTTTGTGGACCTTATCAAAACTGAATGGACAGACATGTGACTCACTTCCTGCTATAGTCGGGCTCCTAGACTCGCTGTCCAGCCAGTCCTAGCCCCCCGCCAAGCTCTGTATAATACCAGGAGAACAAGGCCTCCTGGAATCACTGTCCAGCCAGTCCTAGCCACCCGCCAAGCTCTGTATAATAACAGGATAACCATGCCTCCTGGAATTACTGTCCAGCCAGACCTAGCCCCCCGCCAAGCTCTGTATAAAAACAGGAGGACAATGCCTCCTGGAATTACTGTCCAGACAGTCCTAGCCCCCCGCCAAGCTCTGTATAATAACAGAAGAACAATGCCTCCTGGAATCACTGTCCAGCCAGACCTAGCCCCCCGCCAAGCTCTGTATAATAACAGGAGACCAATGCCTCCTGGAATCACTGTCCAGCCAGACCTAGCCCCCCGCCAAGCTCTGTATAAAAACAGGAGGACAATGCCTCCTGGAATTACTGTCCAGCCAGACCTAGCCCCCCGCCAAGCTCTGTATAAAAACAGGAGGACAATGCCTCCTGGAATTACTGTCCAGACAGTCCTAGCCCCCCGCCAAGCTCTGTATAAAAACAGGAGGACAATGCCTCCTGGAATTACTGTCCAGCCAGTCCTAGCCCCCCACCAAGCTCTGTATAATAACAGGAGAACAAGGCCTCCTGAAATCACTGTCCAGCCAGTCCTAGCCCCCCGACAAGCTCTGTATAATAACAGGAGAACAATGGCTCCTGGAATCACGGTCCAGCCAGTCCTAGCCCCCCGCCAAACTCTGTATAATAACAGGAGAACAATGCCTCCTGGGATCACTGTCCAGCCAGTCCTAGCCCCCCGACAAGCTCTGTATAATAACAGGAGAACAAGGCCTCCTGAAATCACTGTCCAGCCAGTCCTAGCCCCCCGACAAGCTCTGTATAATAACAGGAGAACAATGCCTCCTGGAATCACTGTTTCAATTCAGTATCTTAAAATAGAAAAAAAATGGTATATAAATAAAGTATTGTTGTCTTTTTAACAATCTTAAGGAAAACAATTTACTGTTTTGTGTTTGTTTTGGGACCTTACTGTGACAAGTGAAGTACACACCAGTACCTCACTTGTCACAGTAATTATGATGATTAGAATTACAGAATTTGAACTTGTTCAAAAGTTGGGGACATATATGGTTGAATTTTTGAAAATATTTGTTTTCAAAGGTGTATGAATAAATAAATAAAACAGAGTCACATTTTATTTTTGGCATTGAAAGATCCATGTCCCCCGTGGCAAAACACTAGAGAGTTCCACTATAGATTTTTCTGCACACAGTGACCTCCCCTTAATTTCCCCAGGAACTATACTGTTGGTAAAGCTGTGACAGCATTATAATGCTAAGGTCATCATTGTTGATATCTTTTATTTTAATTCATCTTTATTGTTTTCATAAAAAATTGGCAAGGTATGGTTTTCATTTCAGAAATGATTGATCAAATTTATTGTCAAGCAGGTAAAATGCTTCCCATTCAAAGTGACATTTTTGGCATTAGTAAGGGGATCCTTTAGTAGTGTGCTTAAAACAGGCAATGGAGTAACTACAGCACTCCTGCTAATAGTTAGTCTCTGTGTGGTAATAAAAGCGAACATGTTTGGTTTGTTACATTTTAGTACAATCAAACCTGCATTAAGAGACCACGTTTAATGTTCCCTATTTTGAACAGAACCTGTATAAATTGACCACCTTTGTTTTGAGACCACTTTTTAGATTTCCTAAGGGTGGTCTCTTAATTGAGGTTTGACTATATATGGCATGATGTACGGTTGTGCTTACTGCTCAGGATCTTGATGTTTTATAATCCTGTCATGTGATGTGTTTAAACCAATCAGACACGCTGTTAAATCAATGAGGAATATGTTGATTCAGTGTGGGTAAATTGTCCTATCAGGCAGTAAAAAATAGATAGCAAAATTTGTATGTGAGCTATTGTCAAAAGTTAATAAAATTGTCATTTTTCCTGCATCAACACAAATGACTTCATTCTAACAGTTCGAAAAGGTTTTGGTTGATCTTCAGTATATTTTGTTAGGTAGAATTTCAGACTAGTGGTTTTCTGACTTTCGTGTTCTCTGTTTAAATCATCAAATTTCCTTAAAGAACTAAAAGATACATCATCATGATATCTTTATGGAAAAATGACGTCACTTGAAATTGTAAACCAAATTGTATTGTGTCATAGTGTATATTTTAAATATGTATTTAATAAATACATCATCTATTTGCTTGATGTAGTGAGTGATCTGATATTGTTTTTTAGTCTGAAGAATGTTGTAGCTTTGTGCTATATGTGTAATGCATTATATATGTTGACATCTATACTCTTGTTAGCTCACCTGACCCGAAGGGCCATGCAGGCTTTTGATGTGGTGAGGCGTCTATTGTCTATCCGTCCATCAGTCTTCTTTTAAAACTGTACTACTCTAGAACGTTTGAGTGGAATTTGAATATATTCGGTCTGGAGCATTGTTTGGCCGTTGAAACTCCAATTCTGTATAAATAGAGGGTGTGGCTCCCAAGGGGCCGATCACATGGGTTCAGTAATTGATTTAATATATACATTTCAAATCCTTCCACTTTCTGTAGTAGTAAAGGATTTTTAGCCTAATTTGGAATTTGTTGCTTTAATGAGTTCAATGTTATATACACAAATCGTGTTACCCCAAGGGTAAGAGGGGAGACCCAATAGAGGAAATAGAGGTTAATCTTTAAAATTCTTTTCTTGCAGTACAGATGGAGAGATTTTAACTAAATTGTTGTATAAATGGAGGGTGTAGCCACCTGGCAGGCCATGCCAACTTGGGTAAATAGCAGTAGATGTTTACATGGTTCTCTGCAGTCGATACCAATGAGTACATATGAAACACACTTGTACATACAGTTTGCAGGGACGTTGCTCGTCTGCTATGGCAAAGCAAGATTTTTTTTCTACTGCAAAACAGTTAATAAATGAATTGAGGGATTTTTATCAAATTTGATCAAATGCATCCTTGTGCCAGGGTGCTGCCCCTGTCCTTACTGACTTACTCCCAGGGCATTTCAGTGGAAACGATTCAGATTATCATCCTATAACCAGATATGTGATTGTTTGGTGTGAAGAAACCAACTCAATCATGCTTCCAGGATTAGCTCAGGGGTCTGGTCTTTTCCTGGAGAATTAATCCCTTGGTGATACCATAGAAATAACTGGATTCATCTCATTATAAAGATATACACATAGATACCAATATAAACCTTACTTCCTTTAAAGCACCATTAATCCCTTTGACCTGGGTATTTAATGTGAACATTGCTGCTCTCTGGACTTTACACACAAACAGCATAATTTAGGTGCAATTTGAATGCCTACTCATCCTGAACGGTTTATAATATTTTAACCAATTGTATTATAATGCTACATTGGGACCAATTAATCTTTTTTTTAAAGTGGAGTGTAAGCCCCCTTGGTGTCAATGTTGAATTCTATTTTAATTATTTTTAATGTGAATATTTGTCGTTTTGTATTATTTCGGTGAGCGTTACAGGCCCTTTCTGCCTCTTAATATATGAATATTGTTGGAAAATGTTTTTTTTTTGTCCTTTGTTAGAAAACAGAAAATAAATATTTCCAGATAATTATTATAAACTTTGATGGCATTAGTTTTCGCGTGCCTCTAACACAACGAGAGGAGCGGACTCGGTCGTTGATACAATTTCACTTCCTCTGACATCTACGGTTGATACTATCTGGCAGTAGTTAAAGTTTCTGATATCTTGGAGCTTGTTGCAACTTTTTATACGAATGTAACATTTACAAGTTATAAAAATTCGGAAGCTTTATTTATATATGTTAAGGGATTAATTATGGAAATGTCATCGTCATCGTCAGAGGCTGATGGCCTTTATAAAACTTAATGTGTTACTCCCTTCCTGACCAGTAAAAGCACGAACCACTAAATCGGCGCAGCTAATAATATAATTTCAAGATCTAGAACACTCTGGGGGAATAGAACGCTTTGATTTCGCACATGGTTGTACAATTGTATTTGAGAATTGTGACATCGTGATAGTCGATGTGGATTTATAGAGTCCCAACTCCCGTCCTAGGGTGCTGTTACTGCCTATGAAAGACCTACGGGGACCGTTGTCAAGGCCTGCTGCTATATAGGAAAATAACAGATATCGAATATAGCACTGTTTTGTATGTTTGACTGGTACGGACCATAGGGGAAACGTCAAACATACACTAAAATCCCACCGCTGCCACCAAATGTAACGTAAGGGCGGTCACCCATCCAACTACTGACCACGCTCGATGTTGCTGATTTAGTGAGCGGGTCCCCGGGTTATACCGCATCACTGGAAAAGCTAGCTTGCCAGGAAGGCAGTATTTTCCCCTTATACACCTTAGCTGTTACATGTAATGCAATACTTAAACACGATGCAAATATCTGGGATAGAACGATTCGATTTATAAGGCCACTGATGTATATGTGATCCACCTGTGGATACATGGTATGTTATATATACTGCAAACAAAACATTAAAATACGTCAGCGTAGCAACCAGATGAACGAAACAACAATGTAACAACTGCACTGGAACGTCCATTTGTAATAGACCTTATTTCGCTGGTACAGTAGTACAATGTGATCTACTGGTCATATAAACTTCGTCCAAACTCGCAAACTATTGCTTATGGGTGAGGAATTTGAAGTTCATTCGTTTCTTCCGACAATGGAAGGAAAGGTTAAGATATTCATGTATAAAACGAAGATCAGCAGAGGCCTTAGACGATTGCAAAAATTCCATAAACAAAGATCAAACGAGGTCCTAGGGAAATGCTATGTTATGGAAAAAATCACTCGAGGCCGTAGAGAAGTACTTATAAAAGTTCAGTAAGTGCATCCGAGATCGTAGAGAAATACAGCGGTACCAGAAACAAGTATCTACTGGTCTGAGAGATGTGCGAAAGTTCAAGAAACAAAGACAAATTTGTCAAGATTTTTGGAGAAGAATTACGATTTACTATAAATTTCCAATGTTGTAATAAACCTGTCACAGATGTGTTGGACTGAAAATGTACACGGATGCCATGAAAAAGGAAAATTACAAATAAGCCCGAATGCTCACTACGAAATAGACAGTTTCCAATGAAGTCATTATCATAGTCTTCATCAACCGGCATCTCTCTAATACGAGTACGTACGTAAGACACACAGGTGATGGCACCTACACAGATCGCTAACAGACACAGTATGCCAACAAACAGATGCAGTATACCAACAATGAAACAGATACAGTATACCAACAATGAAACAGATACAGTATACCAACAATGAAACAGATACAGAATACCAACAACGAAACAGATACAGTATACCAACAATGAAACGGATACAGTATACCAACAACGAAACAGATACAGTATACC